GATTCATTTGAAGATGAGGTTGGTGCTATTGCTGCTGTTTTAGAAGATAAACATTTCATTGCTATTCCTATTTGTTTGTAACCCTTTAGGTGGCATCTCAAAATACATTAGGAGATGTTGCATTGGAGTGGTATAGAAAATGAGATGCATATTTGATATGAGATTACATTTACTAGGAAGAAGATAACAAAGAAAGACAATATAAGTTGAGCTCTTTTTCATTTTCCTTTAATGGACTACTTTAATTCTCAGGCGCAAGATCTATGGTGTATAATGAGTAGGAGATAGAGCTAACTAAAGAAGACACCAGACTTATTCGTAGAATGTTGAAAGGGCGAAAGGCACCTTCTGCTTAAAAAATTGACATACATAGAAAATTAAGAAGTGCAATATTTGACAAGGTTTCCATAATCATCAATTAAAACTCACAGCCTTCTAAGTCTTTTCTGAGCACATTAACCGTCTTTTTTCGTGTTGGCTCTCTCATATGTTCCATACCTTTTCTTTCCTCAGAGTCGTTCTTTTTTCTCTTCTTTTATTGCATCATCCAATGACTTCTCGAGGAATGCATTGTCCTTCTTGAGTTCATCCACTGTCTTCTTGTGTTCAGCCAATGTCTTCTTATGTAATACAATCTTTTTCTCAAGTTCATTCACAGTCTGTTTGGGAACATGATTTTGCTAGGGTATATCTGAATTTTAACATCTTAAATTCAATTTTACTATTAGTTTTTACATAAAATAAAATGTAATTGAATTTAAATAAAATACATATATTTCACTCCAAAGTATTTGAAAGAGATAACAACGGGTATTTGAAATTTATCCTTAAACGCACGAATTTCAAAATTGAATTTAAGACTCAGCACACTCTCCGCACGCCGACCGCAATGAAGCCTGCCTGCTCCACCCTGTCTCCTCCCTTATTCATCATCTAGGATTCAAGATCCTTGAGCATCTGCTGTGCCCTCTCATAGGCCTTGAGATGGGAATCTACTCCGCTTGGTCCATCTGTGATGGCTGGTGTCACCCGCCCGCGGGTTTCTTTGGCCTCATCTATTCCCTCTTGTTTCATCAAGCAGATTCCCAGATTACACATCTTGTTATTGTCAGGAGCAATGGTTAGTGCTTGGCGGTATGCATCTTCTGCCTCAATGCAGTTGTTCTGCTGCGTCAGTGCCCATCCCCAGTTCCCCTGAAAATAGAATTAACTTAGTTCCGCTAACCATTTACAAATTTAAGAGAAAAAAAAAAGGGAAGAAATCTCAGTAAGCTTGAATTCTCATCAGTGACTGAGTTGCTTCTTGTTCCACTGAATCCTGAAATTTCTTCCCTGAGACCTGGCGGTCTTTGTGTGCTTCCCATTGAAAGCAAGTCCTTGCTAAATCAAGAACAACTTGTGCTTCAATAATGCTATTTGGTCTTCTAATCTTCCACATCTCTGTAATTAACCAATGGAATTACAAGGTCAGTCCCAGATAGATCTAAGAAACTTAAGATTTGAATTCATTTTCAGAATCTGTGGGGGAAATGAATGACCTTATAAAGATCCAGAAGAATGTTATCAAGAGACTTCTGGGCTTGATCTGAGCATCTATTGCGCAGTGATTTGATGGCTACAATGGCCTTCTCGGCTCGATTTTGTGGCTTCATCACAATAGCCATATCTTTTGAGGAACTATCGACTCTGTCTCCAGCGTTGATGGCTGGCCAGAACAGAGGAATTGCCCCCTCTGGATCTTTGTCCACCAACTAATCAAGTAAAAACACAAGAAAGTAGACACCCATTAAATCAAACATAGATCAAATTGAAAAGAATGTTTCAGAATGATTCAAAACAGATTCCATAGGTGACCCAGATACTTGAACATTTTTTGCTCTGACATAAGGAGTGTCCCCAACTGGAACCTTGTGGATGGCGTGAAATGACTCGCAACGAGTTCTCAACATTCCAAGAGGCTTCGCCGGAGAAGGAGGAGCCAACTTGGTAGGCCTGAAACCAGGCGGAGCATTCCACACATCTTGCATCATCTTTGAAACGTATTTCTAGTTTAATTTTACCTCGGCTTTTTTCTAAATAACGACAACCGAACGCCCTTCATGCTCAATGGTTCGACACCTAATTTTAAGTGTTTGGGTAAGCTGATCTGAGTTTTAAATTTCATTATTGTAGTGAACTCTATAAAAAGGTAATTTGATGGTCGCGCACTTCATTTAAAGGATGAAATATTTATCTGATCTGAAGATCGAATTCTCAATTACTAACAATTAATTCATATTAATTTTTTAACTATTATTTTTGTAAAAAAGAAAAAAAGACAACCAATGTATTAAAAAATACATATATTTAAATTTATTTTTTTATTTAATTCAAAGCACCTAACCCTCGTGACCGATAGGTGTTTGTTTTGCCGTTAGGTGCATCTCAATTCTAGGTTTAAAATTTGAATTCTTTCTCTTAAATTGGTAATCAGTTCAAAGAATATATTTTAAATATATATTTAAAAAAATAAT